CTGAACCACTGTGGCCCTCATGCCTGTCATCTTAGGGAAAGATTTTTTGCGAAGTTGTTAAAAGCCAGTTAATTGCTAGGGTAGCAGTGGAGAGGCCAACACCACGCAGTCGCTGTTGGTCATGGCTTTATTTGGCTAACTATTGTAAACAAAGCCATCTTGGTGACAAGAATCTTTTTGTAGTGCTGTGGGGGATGGAGTCATCGCTCTGTCCGACCCAAGCTGGAGTTGCAGTGCCGGGATCTTCCAGCTCACTCGCAAGCTCTGCCTCCTCGTTCATAGCCATTCTCTACCTCAGCCTCCTGAGTAGCTGGGACTACAGGCACCCGCCACAGCACCTGGCTAATTGTTTTGTATTTTTAGTAGAGACGGGGTTGCACCATGTTAGTCAGGATGGTCTCAATCTCCTGACCTCATGATCCACCCATCTTGGCCCCCAAAGTGCTGGGATTACAGGCGTGAGCCACTGCGCCTGGCCAATTTTTTTGTTTTTTCTTCTGAGAGGCAGTCTTGCTCTGTTGCCCAGGATGCAGTGCAGTGATGCGATCTCAGCTCACTGCAACCTCCGTCTCCTGGGTTCAAGTGATTCTCCTCCCTCAACCTCCTGAGTAGCTGCGATTCCAGGCATGTGCCATCAGGCCTGGCTAACTTTTGTATTTTTAGTAGAGACGGGGTTTCATCATGTTGGCCAGGCTCATCTCGAACTCCTGACGTCAGGTGATCCACCTGCCTCGGCCTCCCAAAGTGCTGGGATTACAGGCGTGAGCCACTGTGCCCAGCCTATCCTTCTTTTATGAGATCTTAAAATATGAAAACTTTGTTTTCACATTCTAAAATAGAAATCTTAAAGTTTAAAAAACTTTTTGAGAACCCCAAAGAAAAATATTGCCATAGCCACAAAGATGTTTGATGTACTGTATTTCAAGGACGTGTGTGTATATGTATGGGCAAGTTTGTACATGTAGAAGAACTTTGCTGTCTGAGATGAATTGACATCCTGTCTTTCCCCTTCTTCCCTATCAATCCTTAAGGAAAAAGAAAAAAAAAAAAGAACTAGAAATAAATCTCTGAGAAGATAAAAACAGATGTCTGTGTTGAGTAGAAAGAGATTTTTGAGACTGATTGATTTTATAAGTGGTCAGTTTGATAGTAAATATTTTCATGTTATGACACTTTTTACCTCCCTGTAAAACCTCTTCACTGTGAAGACTAAAGTGAAGAATTATTGGGTCAAAGATCAGTTATATAAAATGTTTAAAAAGTAATTTCTCCACTACTTTTTAATAGAATCTTATCTGCCTTTAAGATTTCTGTTCATCTGAAGATATTCCCTGAGCTTCTGTCCTGTCTTAGCTCATAGGCAACAGCAGATTGCAGAGCTCATATTGTCACAGTCGTTTGTTACCCACCCTCTGTCTTTTTTATGACCAGGTATCATCTCCAGGCTCTCCGGCACCTCTATGTGCTGGCCGCGGAGCCCAGGCTTCTCGTGCCTGTGGATGTGGACACAAACACGCCCTGCTATGCCCTCTTAGAAGTTACCTACAAGGTATCTCTCCCTATCATTTACTTGTAATTTTATTACCACTCATCCGTCTTTGCAGGTCATAATATTTCAAATGTGTTGTCCAGTAAAAGGTGACAAGTAGTCAGTTGAACTTTCATAAAAATGGAAGCTTCCACAGTTATTGTATATCCTGCCAGGCCATTCATGCTTGTTTGTATTCTCTGGGTATCACTTTTTAGGGATCATCAGCTACTCTTTTGTTCTTAGAGCTTATAGTTTGAAAATGTCCCTGTTAACTTTACATGACTGACAGTAGTGTTCTATAAAACTAATTGAGTTAGACCCATTCTTAGATTTGTTAGCTGAATACTTGAAAACCCAAAATTGTGTATTTGATGACAGCTTTCATTTAGATGCACAAATAGATTACAAGTTTTATATCCTTCTTTCATTCAGCAAATTATTAAGTACCTTCTGTGAATCAGAACTGTACTAGGCTCTGGGGTACAAAATGAGATGACATTGTCATTTTCCTTAAGGAACCTTTATCCCCTGGGGAGCCAGGCATGGATACGGTGAGAATAGAGTGTGATAATTGGAGATGTGTGTGGAATGCAGGGGAGGCAGCAAAGCACCCTCGCTTAGCTGTTAGCTGTGGGGTTGAGGGGCTGTCACAGCGGACGGTGTTTGGGCTAGGCCTGGCACGCTGAGTGGAGCTCCTTCCGAACGGAGAAGGCAACATGCAGAAACCCAGTGCACTGGAGCATGGCCTTTGGTCCTGCTGGCCTGTGGGGAGCAAGGCTTGAAGTGCTGGGAAGTGACACATACCCTGTGGGGAATTTTGACATCAGTCCTTCAAGATTTGAGTACCAGAGAGGATTTTATGGCATTTTAAGGTCTCTGTATGAGCTGCAGGGTTGGAGGGAGGTAGAGCGTGGAGATGTTTCTTCTTTGTTGTTTCCACTGACTACCTAGTGAACTGTAGCTGGACTTTTGCGTTTGTAAAGGGCACTCAGTGGTATGAACAAACGAAAGAAGAATTGATGGCTCCTACCCTGCTTCCAGAACTCCATCTTTTAAAGCAGGTAAGTTGGGCATGGTTGGGAGATGGGTCCAAGCGATCAATTCAGTAGAACAGCATAGCGTTAAAGACAGCTAAATAAAAGCTGCTGCTTTCTTCATGTATTGTAGCAGATAAGAAAGCTGCAGCAAAAGGAAAAGTCAGAAAGAACAGAGCAAGTCTTGTCTTAGAGATCTTTATTGATAGTTTAGGTGGCCTCAGAACATGATTTACATTCATTTTTTTGTCTGGAAATGGAGCTTGTTAACCTCCAGATGCCTCTTTCTGGCTGTTACTGTTTCCTCTGAGAAACAGGGTCCAGTTTGTCAAATGAATATATTTTTCAGCTTTGGGTTGACTACGTTTACATTTATCTTGGCAGATTAAAGTTAAAGGCCCAAGATACTGGGAACTGCTCATAGATTTAAGCAAAGGAACACAACACTTGAAGTAAGTACATTAAATTTCTCTGATTTACCTTTTAGGAAGTGAATAGAAGTATATAGGAAGGTATAAATTATAAATTATTATCTGGAATGTGACTCATCACCCTTTAATCTCATTCAAGACAATATGTAGGGTATGTCTTCTGTAAAACAGTCTGTATTTTTGAAACAGGACTTGTGTTAGAGAATGAAAGTTTTGGCCGGGTGCGGTGGCTCATGCCTGTAATCCCAGCACTTTGGGAAGCCGACGCGGGCGGATCATGAGGTCAGGAGATCGAGACCATCCTGGCTAACGCGGTGAAACCCCGTCTCTACTAAAAATACAAAAAATTAGTCGGATGTTGTGACTGGCACCTGTAGTCCCAGCTACTCGGGAGGCTGAGGCAGGAGAATGGCACAAACTCAGGAGGTGGAGCTTGCAGTGAGCCAGTATTGCGCCACTGCACTGCAGCCTGGGTGACAAAGCGAGACTCCGTCTCAGAAAAAAAAAAAAAAAAGAAAGAAAATGAAAGTTTTAATTTTAAACTCTATCCCTAAATATTTATATTCATTTGTTGAGAAACTTGCGCTGACTTCCTTGTGACAGTAATGGACTTGTCTCTTGGTATATTAACATAAGATTTAGTTTAAGAAAGTGTGTTAGTCCATTTTCACACTGCTAGAAAGAACTACCTGAGATTGGATAATTTGTAAAGAAAAGTAGTTAAATTGCCTCATAGCTTCGCCTGGCTGGGGAGGCCTCAGGAAACTTACAATCGTGGCAGAAGGCGAAGGAGAGGAAAGACAGTCTTGTATGGCAGCAAGAGAGAGTGAGAGAGGTGCTACACTTTTAAACCATTAGATCTCGTGAAAACTCACTATCATGAGAACAGCATGAAGGAAATCCGCTCCCATGATCCAATCACCCCCAACCAGGTCCCTCCCCTGACATGTGGGGATTACAGTTTGACATGAGATTTGGGTGGGGACACAGAGCCTAACCAGGTCAGAAAGTAAAGCTGATTTGTACATCCACAAAAGGAACTTTATTATATCAGTCAGTGTTTGTCAGACCGCATCTTTTGTTGCATCTCTTTACCATTCTTCTGTTAGAAAGTTCTCCTAAATTTAAGATTATTGTAGATAATATATACTACTCACCCAGTTTATTTTGGGTGGAAATAATCACATGCAATTATTTTAGAGTGTTGATAATTTTATACTGAAAGTAGCATGTCAATTAAGTCTTTAAATTTCAAGGAAGTTTAACAAGCATGTAAAAGTTTCTATAATTTGGTCCCAATGTGAGTTTTTCCAGACTATCTGTATATTAGCTGTTTTCTGTATTGTTCTGTCCTTAGATTTGCAGCATTATTTTCTTTTTGCTGCAAACCAATTAATAGATATTTAGTACCTCATGTACCCCAGACATAGAGCTAGGGGATATAGGGAATACAAAGAAATGTTAGGTAAAATGCTACCATTGAAACTCATAGTTGAGCCAGTAGTCAAAGTGACTTCTCATTTAACAAGTTCCATGAATCTAGACACCAAAGAAAAACAGAACTTTATTCTAGGCTTTCTCATAGGGACTGATTTAATCTTAGACACAGTAAATAATCATTTGCCTTAGTGGAAAATGGTAAAGGCTTCATCTCCCGTGAACATGGTATTAGAAAACACTATGTTTCCAGCCAAGAACTGCCAGTAATACCTTATATTAAATTCATTCATTTTTCTTTCAGGTCCATCCTTTCCAAGGATGGGGTTTTATATGTTAAACTCAGGGCAGGTCAGCTCTCCTACAAAGAAGATCCAATGGGATGGCAAAGTTTGTTGGCGCAGACTGTTGCTAACAGGAACTCTGAAGCCCGGGCTTTCAAGGTAGTATTATTAATTGGTAAAAATGGAAGGAAATAATTGTAAATTGCGGGCTTCCTTGCCCATTGCTGTAAACTTTAAAGGTGGATCTGCTTCCTTTTTCATTGTTGCGGATTGTAAACACTGCCTGCCCGTGACTCCGTTTGCTTTTTATGTGATGGGCATAATAAAATATAAATACAAAATACTCTATATAATAAATAATAAATATATATAATAAAGTAAAATACTCTAAGTTAAGATTTACATTCAGCAGCAAGGACAGTCGCACCATATCCTGACACTACAACAAATACTTTAGTAATTTTATTATTAATCCTCAAATCGGTGAAGATTTACTTAATTTCATAGCAAAAATAGAAAAGGAGTTTTGCAAGCTAGCAATTATTAGCTCCATTTAAAAACCACCATTTGTTTCCTTCATCTTGGTGAGGATAAACTGATGACAGACTCAGACTTCTTTTGTTAGTTTGCTTTATTATTTGCACAGTACTTGACTGCCAGTACAGTAGTGTTTGAAATAAGCAAATAGTTACGATAAATGAGGGTAGGAAACAATCTCATTCCCATGGCGGGGTCAGCACATATTTTACTCGATATTCTTGACTCAGGTAAGTTTCCAACACTAGAAATTTGTCCCATAATCAGGCATTAAGACTTCTGAATTTAACTTCAGTTTTCTGTAATTCCATGAGCAAATATGTCCCTGTTGGTGATACATAGTAGAGTAGTCTGAAGTAGTGAGGACCCTTAAGGATAATTAGACAGCAAAAGTGGGGCAGGCGGACTGGATGAGTGGCAGCCAAGGACTGAGTTAGCATCCTTTGTTCTTCCAAGTACGGAGACAGCAGTTTATTTTAATTCAACTCATATTTCATTTTAGGTCAGTTACTCATGACCGAGCCTTTATAATGGTTCCCAGGATTGAAATGTATAAATTGTTCTCAGGGTTGACATTGGTGAATTTTGTTTGGCAGTATTCAGTAAGTTGTTTATGAAATATTTTTGAAAGATTTTTGGACACGGTTTAACTTAAATTTGTAGTATTGCTGCTTCTAAAAATCAGAGCATATCCCAAAGACTCTAACCCAATTTGTGAAGAAAATAGGTAACTTTAGACTTGAGTTCGAATGAAGAAAATATATAAAAATTAAAAGCTATCTCAATTTCCTGCCTACTGGAAGTTCAGAAATAAAATATAAACCTCAGTGGAAAATAGTAATACCTTCATATTTCATTTTCAGTCTTGAACCTTGAATGATACTGTTTTTTCCCAAGTTTAAAAAATTGTGGTAAAATGCACACAATTTATTGTCTTTACCTTTTTCAAGTTACAGTTCAGTAATATTAAGTGCATTCACATTGTTGCGCAACCATCACCACTGTCCCTCTCTAGAACTGTTTCATCTTGCAGACCTGCAATCTATACTTGTAACAATAACCCCTCATTCTACTTCCTCTAGTCCCTGGCAACCACCATTCTATTTTATGTCTCTGATTTTGATTATACTAAGTACCTTATATATATGGTTTCATACACTGTTTATCTTTTTGTGGCTGGCTTGAGTGATATTCTTTTTTCCTTACCATTTCAGTAACAATTCTAGTTTCTGGTAGGCTTTTTAGTTAGTCAGTGAAGGAAGGAAAAGCCTTTTGTGGATGAGTTGTGTAAACAGGAAGACCTGTTTGTTTGTTGGCCTTTTGATAATTAGTAGCTCATGTTAACTTGTGCAAAAGCTTATTGTAACTTCTTAGCAGAACAGGTTGATGAGGCAAGTTTGCACCATCTGGGTTTTTTTGGGAATGTTGTGTGACAAAGGGGAGGTAGAGTTGTTAGAACTGCATGTATTACAGTTCGAGCAGTAAGGAAAATACTCTTCTTTTAATCTTATACTGTTGTGGTTGTTTGTTTTTTTTAGCCAGAAACAATCTCAGCATTCACTTCTGATCCAGCACTTCTGTCATTTGCTGACTATTTCTGCAAACCAACTGTGAACATGGGTCAGGTATATATTCTATGGTTTGCTGAGCCCCAGGACCAGCATTCGTTAGTATGTCTATGTATGGGTCACCCAAAACATCTGTACTATCTATATCTATCTTTGAGATTGATGACATACGTGAGTCACATGGGATGACTTTTGCTTGGCACGTGTAGATTTGCATAGCCTAAAACTATTACATTTAGCAACTTTCTATCTTGATAGAAGAAACAACATTTGTAAGACATTAATTTTGACAGATGATAGTTTCTGTCACCTACAAGAATGATGCCCATTCATATTCTGCTTTGTTTTCAGTGTTTACTGCCTTTCTCTTGTTTTTATGTAATTGCATTAACTGTTTCATCTGTATATTATAACGCTTCTTTTTCTTGTTTATACACCTGTTGCCTTCAAGATTCCAAGGGTGCTTAGCAGATTTTTCTTTATTTTTTTGTTTTTTGTTTTTTGAGATAGGGCCGGTTTTTTCTGTTGCCCAGGCTGGAGTGCAGTGACGTGATCATGGTTCACTACGTCCTTGACCTCCCGGACTGAAGCCATCCTTCCACCTCAGGCTTCTGAGTAGCTGGACTACAGGCGTGTAGCCACCATGGCTAATTTTTTTTTAAATTTTTGTAGAGATGGAGTCTCACTATATTGCCCAGGTTGGTCTTGAACTCCTGGGCTCAAATGATCCTCCCACCTTGGACTCCCAAAGTGCTGGGATTATAGACTTGAGCCACTGTGCCTGGCCCAGATCTTTGGTTTAATCCACCATACAGAGAAGGAAAGATTGGATATAGAATTAGATATCTAGGATTGATAGCCTATTGTCTACAAGTGTATATGGCCTTCAGAAAATTTCTCAACCTCTCCAAAATGTAGTTTCCTCATTTCTAAAAGTGATTATAATAGAATCTACCTTACAGTATTGTTTTGAGGATTAAGTGAAATAACCTTCCCCTCTCTTACTTATTGAATCTTTACTATATACTGGATACTCTGCTAATACTTAAATGTCATTTAATTATGACCCTGAGGAGAGGTATTTTATCATTCTGGGCTTACAGATGAGGAAACTGCCACTGAGAGATGTTACATGCCCAAGATCACACAGCTAGTAAGAGCTGGGCTGTGCACTCAAGGTCACGGGTCTCTAATAAAGCCCATGCCTGCCCTTAACCCCAGCTGGACTTGACTCTGCTGCCTCCCCTAAACTTTTTCTGGTCAGTGTTTTTTTCTTGCAGCTTTGTTACTCTGTTTCCTTTCTGGATCCTACTCTTCCCAGCCCAACCCAAGGCATAGCTCTGTGATGTCCTATCTACTCATTTTATCCTAGTTTGGTCCATTCCTCTCTTCTGTAGCACTTACTATCTTTAACTGTCTCTTGGGACTTAATTTTTTAAATTGTTTAATGTTACATGTGCTATGGCTTTTAAAAAAGATTATAATGTTACTTTTATGTGATTCATTATAGAACTTAAGAATGGGCCATAGTAGTACTATACAATTGGTTTTTGAATTGATTTTGGAATATACTTTGTGCTACAAAAAGCTTCTGATTTTCTGCAGAAACAGGAAATTCTGGATCTCTTTTCTTCAGTACTCTATGAATGTGTTACCCAGGAGACCCCAGAGATGTTGCCTGCATACATAGCAATGGATCAGGTATGGATCCAAAAAGTTATACCGATTCTGGTGAAATTTGTCCTGTAGTTCAAGTAACTTACTGAATAGTGTGGTAAGATTCCTAGTGTCCTTCCTTTTAGTTTCCCATTTGCTTTTGGCAATTTAAGAAAGGAAACCATATAAAATTTGAAAGCTCTCAAAAATCCAAAAAGCTTGGGCTTTATGTTGATAGGAGTGCCCCTTGGAAAGCTGTCTTCCTCTAAGGGTTCCCCTTCCTCCCTTTTATCTCCCCTGACTGAGAGAGGAGGAGAGCACTCCCTCCCTCTCTCCCATTTTATTTTTGCCTTCCTCCTTGCACTGCCTCTTTGTAGAAGTCTGCATGTGAGCAGTTAGTGGACAAACAGAGCCCTAGCGATGGCAGTACTATGAAATTAGACCTATGTGATGAAGCTTGCAAGAGGTTACAGAGTATATATGTAGTTATCTAGGGTGTTGGAGTTCATTTTTAAATTTCTCTTGTTATTGATGTTTTAAAAGAGCCTAAAGGGGTAATGCAGAAAGTAATGCTTAATACTGTTCTTAAAGGATCAGACCAATTTATTCACTTCAGGCAAATTAGTAATACATATGCCTTTTCATTATTATCATATCTTTCAGACCCGGATTTGCAGTTAAGCCAAGCCAGTAGTTTTCTAACCTGGCAAAAATTTGCCTTGGTATCTTAAAAATACAGATCCTCTAATTCCATGCCTCATCTATTGAATCAGAATTTCTGGGGTGAGATCCAGAATCTAGTTTTAAACAGCTGTTTAAGTGAATATAATAAAGTCACAGCTGAGCATCTGAGACTCAGTGTCTAAGAGAAATTACCTTTAATGGTAAAATAATTTGCTAGAAAGCTGAATAGAGAAACATACTTAGTCAGAGGATAATTTCCCCCAAACCAGAAAACACACAGTGTTAAGTAACATTGTTAATTAAAAGCCAAGTTCCAGTATAACTAAATAGGCCCAGAATGCTATTATTGTCTGGAATCCACCCTTTTTTGGTTGGAAAATATGGGTATATGGCATCCACGCTGGCACTGCTTCTCACAGTACTTCTCTGTACAGCAGCCAAATAACAAGTTGTGTTTTGAAGTTGCTGACGAGAATGTGTCTTTTTACCCTCTGAACCCTCACGCCTTCGCAGTCATGGGTGGCAGGTCTTTATGCATGAATGTCTCCTCTGGTTGCAGCTGTAGTGACTTGCAGATGGATCCCAAGGGCACTATAATTAGTAGTGTTCCTTTGCCCTCTGCCCCCCTGGATCCCTGCCATGTCATTGTACCCGGCTTGAGCTTTCCAGAGGTGACTGGCTGTGACCTTTTGGGTCTTGGTTGTTCGGAGCTGTTGAGCCAAGAATGAGCTCATTCACCTTTGTTACTTTTCCCTGCAAGCTGCTCATGTAGGGCCATATTGAAGGAGGCGAGCCGTGCACCTGTACCCAGTGACGGCTCCTCTGTGGGCAGACCGCCTCAAAACACAGAATGGATCCCCCACCGCCCTTTATAATTAGGAGCCACGTTTAAAGAATACGCAGTCTACAACTCTGATGAAGAGGCAGAGAACTCTTTGATTAAATGGATTGTTGTCCTCCTTCCTCTTCAAGGCTATAAGAAGACTTGGGAGAAGAGAAATGTCTGAGACTTCTGAACTTTGGCAGATAAAGTTAGTGTTAGAGTTTTTCAGCTCCCGAAGCCATCAGGAGCGGCTGCAGAACCATCCTAAGCGGGGGCTCTTTATGAACTCGGAATTCCTCCCTGTTGTGAAGTGCACCATCGATAATACCCTGGACCAGTGGCTACAAGGTAATAGTAGCATCGTAGCGTGGCGCTCCTGTGCTTTTGAGATACATTCAGTTCAGGCTTTTCTGTTGTCACTTTTGTTTTCGTTGGTAAGCAAGATAAATCTGAGTATAAGCAAGAATGACTATAGATTTAATGTTTCCAGCTAGATGAATTAGGCTTTGATTATCTGCTTCAGCTTCTTTGGAAAAATGCATCTGACCCAGGCAGAGAATATTTATAGCATTTTAAATACCACTTGGTGCTCAGGACCTTGTTCTCTCTTCCCTAGCATCAGATCACATTTCCTTTCCGGTGCCTCTGTCTCCTGTTTCCTAGGTGTGTGGCCTGTCGCCTACCTGAGGCCAGCAGCCATTCCGTTTTTGTACTGGCACCCCAGGTACATGTAGAACTTGACGTGTGCTTGCTGAGTGAGCTTGTTGTACCAACTCAGTTTTGAAAACCTGGGATGGCACAGCTATGTGATGTCACAGTGGTGGCTTTCTATCAGCAGGATTTGTGATTGCAAGGAAATTGTAGTTACTCGTTAACAGTGTAGAAGTGATTCTGACTTACATGAGGCAAGTGATGGGGCCTTTAGATTTTCGGAAATGTATCTTATGTGTTAAATACACCTGAAACTGATTTTCAGGAGTAGACTTCTTGATCTTTTCATTCTTTTTAGTTCATCCAAATGCTCCCAGTAAATATCTGACAGTTGCTTGCTTTGGGTTAATACTAACCTTAGTAATAGTAGTAGAAACAATTCTTGCTTTGATTAGTGAAAGCTATTAGTAATCAACAGACACTAAGTGTTTGAATATAATTCAGTTTATCTGCCTGTAACACTAGGAAATAAACTTCTGAAAAAAATTAAATTGTAAACCAGGTTGTGAGGGATATACTTGGAAAGCCTAATTTCAGACTCTCCATGTTTATATTTAACAGCTGCATTCTATTTGTCATTTCCTGTTCAGATTCAAAGATCATATGGCTTCAAAATTTTTTTGGTAGTCAATTTTATCCTCACTTTTGGGGAAAAACATGTTATTTCATAGGTTTTAGTGTTTCGTTTTTATTCAGTTTAACATTTGATCACCTATGGCAGACCTTTACTATTGATAAAAAATACTTCCTTAAATCTTTGCAGATTCCCTGATTTGCATATTTCGTATAATGTATGGAACTTTGGCAGTGACTAGAACATTCTCTAAAACAGGGCCCTGATTGTCTTGTTGCTCTTTAGTGCATTTGGTGGTTTCCAGTATTGCTGTGAGCCTCCATTGAATTTGACTTGCCACTCAGATTCATCAAAAATGTGTTTATTTTCTAGTGAAAAACTAGAATTTTTTTTTAAAAAACCTCTTAGATATATGGTCTCCTCTCTTACAAGCGCTAGCGGTGGCATTGGGGTAGAGAACAATAAATTAAGTGAAAATTGGAAATTGCATTCATATTTGTGTGTGAGTAAAAATCACAGATGCATATGTGGACTTTCAGGGTCATTCACTAATAACTCATTAGATCTGATATAACCCATGACATCACTACACTAATCTGAAAATGCAGCCAATTGATATTACATAAATGTCAGTTTTTTGTTTTGATATGGAGTCTTCCTCTGTCGCCAGGGTGGAGTGCAGTGGCGCGATCTCAGCTCACTGCACGCTCCGCCTCCCAGGTTCAAGAGCATCCTGCCTCAGCCTCCTGAGTAGCTGGGATTACAGGCGCCTGTCACCACACCCGGCTAATTTTTGTATTTTTAGTAGAGATGGGGCTTCACCAAGTTGGTCAGGCTGGTCTCAAACTCCTGACCTTGTGATCCATGTGCCTTGGCCTCCCAAAGTGCTGGGATTACAGGCGTGAGCCATGGCACCTGGCCTATATAAATGTTTTGTACAGTATTTATCTCCTCAAATTACAGTCTTGGGCAAAGAAAGAGGGTTTCAAGTTTAAAAACTTTAAAAAGTTTTATTAACTTTTTCATATTTTGTTATGGAAATTTAAAGAATATACAGAGTAAGTAGACTAGTGTAATAAACCTCAACACCAATTTTAGTAGTTGCCAGCATTCTCCTGTTTTTGCATCGTCTGTACCTTCACCCACTGCCACACTCAGTTTTCCCAATTGTGCCATTTTACTTTCCCACCAGCAGTGGAATGCAATGCAATTTTTGGTATTGTCCTTTTTTTTTTTTTTAAGACTTGTCAAGTGCAGTAGGAAAGCAAAATAAACCCAAAGCAAGCAAGTAAAAGCAGAAACCAACGAAACCAAAAACAGAAAAACAATAGAGAAAATCAGTGAAACAAAATGCTTGTAGTCATGAGAAAGTCATTGAAGAGAGGCTGAACCATGATGCTCTCCTTCATGATGAGCTGCTCAGAGAAGAATCTCATCTGTTCTCCTTTGATCTTTCTCCCTCTGCTGCCTCCCCCAAACCTAAACATTTCCCCCTCCCAGTAGACTGACATCCTCGCAACTGTGTTCAGTGGAGTCTACAGTTTTCATCTCACTCCATCTCTATAATGGTGAGGCTTTTAGCTACATTTTGCTTCTTGAGATGGGCCTCCCTTGACTTTGTCACAGCACACTTTCCCGATTTTTAAAATAATCCTATTTTAAAATTCTTTCTCAGTATTTGTCACCATTTCACTGTCATTCCTTTGTTGACCCTTTTGGAAGTCATCCTTGCTCCTTTCCCTCCTTCCCTTCTCCCCTCCTCTGTCATGACTGACCCATTGCTGAAGCCTTCAATCCTCATCATAGATATTTCTTGAATTTGTCTACATTTTACTACTTCTGCCTAGAACAGAATGATTATTTTGTGCCTGGACCACTGTTAGAGCCTCCTCAATAGCCTCCTTGCTTTTTCTCATTTCCATTCTAATCATCTCAAGTTAACTGACAGAACAGTCTTTTAAAGAATGAACTGATCTAACACTCCTGCTTAAAGCTTTTCAAAGGCTCCTGATTCAGCTATGAAAGAAATCCCTACTGTGTGGCACCAGGACCTGTGTGACCTGCAAGGCACCTGTTTTCCTCAACAAAGCCTCTTTTACACCACTTGCTCCTCACACCACCCTGGCCCCTTCCACTTCCTCAAAAACACGGAGCTCCTTTTCACTGTGGGGCCATTGAATATGCTGTTTTCCCTCCCTAGAAGCTTTTCCTCTCATTCTTCACCTGTCCAACTCATATTTATCCTTGCAGCCTCAGTTTTAATGACCTTGCCTCCCAGGCCTTCCAAGACCACTCTACCTCAGGCAGCTTTCCTACCATCTATTGCCTGCCCGCTCATGCTCTCAACTTTTTTTCTGCATCTAAATGCCTTTGTTTGCAAGTAACGGAAGACCTGTCTTTAAACGGTAAGGACACAAATATGCTTACGTTATTAGAAGTCCACAGGTAGGGCATGTAAAGGGTCATCTTATTCCATTGTCTTCAACTCCGTTTCTCTGAGGTTCCATCAGCTACATTCTGTGCCATGACTTTATCCTCAGTGCTTTTTTTGGATGGTAATCAAATGGCTATAACATGTTCACCTCTAGCTCAGCGTGATGCCCAGAGGAAGAATAAGAGTTGCTTCTAGGAGCTTTGTGATGAGAATGAGGGGATTTCTTTCCCTGGAGCCTCCAGCAAGCATGTCATTAAGTACCTCCTCAGGTTTCTGGCTCGAGTTGCATCTCATGCACACCCTCAATCTATCCCTGTGGCAGAGACTGTCTCTTATTGAAAAAATGGCCTGGGTCTGCCTGTCTCTGAACTAACACTGTATCAGGGGAATGGGATTGCCTTGATCATCCAAGACCAGTGATTCTCAAAGTGTGGTTCGTGGAGCAGCATGACCTGGGAACTTGTTAGAAGTGGAGTTTTTCTGGCCCTACTGCAGACCTACTGAATCAGAAACTCTGTGCTCTGTGCTCTGTGTGGGGAGTGGGGCCCACTCATCTGTGATTTAACAAGCCCTCCAGGGGACTGTGATACATGGGAAAGCTTGAGAACCTCTGGCCAAGACTAATAAGGATCTAGTTCTGGAGCTGAAGTCTGTCCCATCAAATATTCTAATACATGGTGGAGGGTGGGGTGTGACAAGGGGTATTTTGGAGAGACAACCACAGTGACCACTGCACCTTTATAGCACTCTCACAGTTCGTAATTATGCATTCTTTTGTGTCATTATTTGTGTAATATCTGTCTTCCCCAACAACACTCTAAACTCTACAATGACAGGGACTCAGTCTAGCTTGTCACTGTAGCCTCAGTACCAGCTGTAGAACCTGCTTATAAGTTCTTGATGAAAAAGTAATAGAAAGAAGATATTTCTTGTGCCTCTCAGTTCTGTCATCAGTTGGTTCAGTTCCATTTGTTTCTCTCACAGCCGGGGGTGATATGTGTGTGCACGCCTACCTCAGCGGGCAGCCCTTGGAGGAATCACAGCTGAGCATGCTGGCCTGCTTCCTCGTCTACCACTCTGTGCCAGCTCCACGGCACCTGCCGCCTATAGGACTAGAAGGTAATTGCATATCTGAGTCCTCTCTTCGGTACCTCTGTTACCTACCCCTTTATGTTCTAGTTTCTTGGTAGGAAGAGTTTCTAATTAGTTATTATCCCTAGTTTGACTTTCCTCTTCATTAATGTAGCAGTGTCATTGCTAGGAACTGTTTTGGAGCAAAAAAGAAAAAAATTATCAACTTTTTACATGAATAACTTTCATTTTTATTCAGAAAAGGATGGATTCTTCTTCACAGAGCCCCAAACACTGGTCTAAAAATTTTTTTTAGTATATACTAAAATATATACAAAAAAAATTTTTTTGAGAAAGGCAGAGATTGTTCCATTTAATCATTTAAACTTGAAGTTTAATTACTAGTTTTTTTGCTGTTTTGAAAGCCTCTGATAAAAGTTTACTATCTAGGGACTTCTAGTTATGGCCACGATGGAATTGCTTGTATTGGACTCACTTGCCCTCCAAAACAAGTATAAAAGCTAAAAGACCAAAAACCAAAAAACAAAAAACAAAAACATAAGAAAAGGGAAGTACAACAGGGAGAGCTTTCTGTTCACTCTAGCTTCTCCCCCAAAGGCATTTGCCAGTTCATAGCACAAGAAGTAGAGTCCCAGCAAAAGGCAGCAGTGCTGCAGGGCTGAGGAGCCAGAGGCTGGGTTTGTGATTGTCCAAGAGCCTAGAACTTGAGGAACAAAATCTCAGGCAGGAGAGAACAATAGGAATCATAACTCAAAATCTGGATGTACCTTTCCCTTGAGTTACTTACGACATTTTAGCCTTCATATATATGGGATAAGACTTCAAGAGATATAGCAGAAGCCGCAAGGCCAAAAATGTAAGCAAAAGTGTCTGCAGCAGCATAGGACCGAGGAGACAAAGGGTGGAATTCAAGACTTGTTGAAGTGAAGTGGCTCTGATCAGCATCCCAGCTCCTCAGGTGAATTAATAGCTTGGCCAGGCCCTAAGCCTGCTCTAGCCTATGTTTAGACCTGGTGTGCCTCAGTTTCCCTCCAAGCAGACTAGACCTACAATTAGCCTTGAGCAGAACTGAGGTGATCTGCCTGCTTTGTCCCCACCTAGCAGAAGAAAACGTAACCTTCATAGGAGAAAGAAAGCATACCCAGAGCCTCTGCAATTTCTGGTCTACAGGATTCAGTGTTGAATAAAAAATTACGAGACATAATAAGAAAAAAAAAAAACAGATAATAATAGAAATAGACCTATGTTTGACTCAGATATTGGAGTTATCATACTGGGACTTAAAATAACTATGACTAATATTTCCAGGAAAATAGAGAGAAGGATGGGAGTTTCACCAGAAACCTGGAATCAATAAAAAAGAGTTAAATGGAAAGTCTAGAACTGAAAAATGTAATAACTGAAATGAAGATCTCAGTATTGGATTATTTGAAGTGAACTGGAACACACTTATCTGCTGGAAGACGAGTAGAAAGTAAACAGACTGAAGCACAGAGGGAAGAATGGGTAGGAAATACAGAGAAGAGTACAAGAGATACGTAGAAACCGTGGGAAAAAAAAATCAAATATGTATGGAGTTGGAATAAGAGAATAAGAGGAGAGAGAGAATGAGTTAGAAGCAATATTTGAAGGGACAGAAGCTAAGAATTTTGAAAAATGGTGTTAAATATTAACTCACAGTGAACCCTAAGCAGGATGAATACAAAGAAAACCATACCTAGTCACATTAATAGTCAAACTGCTAAAAGTAAAAGGAAGACATTTTAAAGCATAGACTTTCTTTTCAGGCCAGGATGGACAAACAGAGTTGTTCAGTGGTCAACTGCATTAGAACCAGTAAAATACCACTTAGATAGTAATTGAAGGTAGACAGGCACTTTTGCTCATTATATTTAAAGAATTATATATATATATATACACTTAAACAATATTAGTAGTTTCACATATAGTTATAGGTCACTTTCTGAAGTCTAGAATGGGTAAATTTTATCAAATCATATTCAGGTTGAGTATCCTTAATCTGAAATCTGAAGTGTTTGAAATCGAAAATGTTTTGAGCGCCAACATGATGCTCAGAGGAAATGTTCATTCCAGCATTTTGGATTTGGGATTTTCAGATTAAGAATGCTCAGCTGGGAGGTGTAATGCAGATATTCCAAAATCCAAAAAAATCCAGAATCCAAAACACCTCTCTTCCCAAGCATTTTGGAAAAGGGATACTCAACTTACATTACAGTGTATTAGGGAATTTCATGATTTTAAATATTGTCTTTGGATAATCATTTTCAAAGGGAAAAATGCCTGTTTTCAACGTGACTGTGTTTCTGAAGCTTCCCTGAAAGGAGAGGTACGGCTGAATTTATTTAGAGATGTGACCTTCCCGCCCCATTTCCGTTTTAGGGAGCACGAGCTTTGCTGAACTGCTCTTCAAATTTAAGCAGCTAAAAATGCCAGTGCGAGCTTTGCTGAGATTGGCTCCTTTGCTTCTTGGAAATCCACAGCCAATGGTGATGTGACCGTGTCTGGTGGTGAACCTACCCTGAGACGTGACTTCTACACAAAAACGTGACCAAACATCAAAGCTAAAGCAATGTTTATAAAGTTTTATGGTATAACTAGGGGGAAGTGAGCTGCACAAACCTCAGTGTATTTTAAATCTGTTGCTGTGGTCATTAACATTATATGATATGTAAAAGCAAGTTACAATTTACTTTTGTAAATAAAGTTTTTGGTTTGTTTTCAAAACTCTCGATGATTGCTTTAATTTTGGACTTAGAGAATAGAGCAGTGGGTGCTGGAGTGAATATTGATTTTTAAAGTCTTTGAACTGTGGTGGTACAGGTGAAGTGACTATGTTCAAAAACGCAGTTTTAAAAGAAGCTATATCATAAAGTTTTACTTTCTGTGGCAAAAGAGCGTGTTAGCATTTCCTCAGATGTCACAGTTGTCCCATCTAAAATAAGTTTGTACTTCTGGTGACAATGCCAGACATTCTCATGATGTGATCACCTTAAACAGGAGAAGGAGATTTTTGCCCTCAGTTGCTCAACATGAAGTACTATGGACTGAATTGTGTCCTCTCAGAATTGTATATTGAGGCCCTAACCCCTGTGTGGCTGTATTTGGCAATGGGGCATTTAGGAGATTACTAAGGTTAAATGAGGTCATCATAAGGGTGGGGTCTTAATTCAATAGAATTGGTGGTCTCCTAAGCAGAGGAAGAGAGATTTTTCTTTCTCTCTCTGCCACGTGAAGATGCAGTGAGAAGTCGGCCATTCTGCAAGCCAAGAAGAGCCCTTACCAGGAAAAGACTTGACTAGCACCTCGATCATGGACCTCCAGCCTCCAGAATTGCAAGAAATACATTTGCCCTGTTGAAACCACCCAGTCTAAAAAAAAAAAAAAAAAGAAACCACCCAGTCTGTGGTGTTTTGTTATGGCAGCCTAGGCAGACTAATACATGAAACCTGCTCTAAATAGATAAAATAAGAAATTACTACAGAGGGCTCTTTAGAAATTGTATTTAAAAACAAAACAATCCATATTTACCCAAGATTTACAGAATGTACGTCTGTACACGGGAGGGATTTCCGGACTCGTGGATGATGAAAAATGTTCGTATAAAGGCACCTCCAGCTTCGAGTTGCCAACACAGGAGGAAGAATGCTCTCTGTTGTTCAGATGCTGATGTGTGTCCTGTGCTTCCTGGACAGCCAGTGGGATCATAAGCTGGTAGAAGCAAGATCTTCATCCACTGACTTCATATTTCTTCCACATCCTGAGCTGTGTTGTCTGACTTTAAAAATAAATTAAAGCAAATAGAAATGTTTCCATTGAGAGTTTGGCAAAACCCCACGTGGCATTTGTCTCTGCGGGCTAGACTTGGAAGGCATGCTCCTGGAGGCCCAGCGGTTTTCTCTGGCCTCTCGTGTCCTCCCATTGGCGTGCCTGCCCCAAGGACTCGCTGATTCCCGGATGTGAAGCGGAGGCACGAAGGGGCTGACTGAGAGGCTGAAATGTGCTTCTCTTCACACTTACATAGTTTTCTTCTAATTAAAAATAAATTTTAAGTGGTAGATGATGAAAATTCCTTTTGAATCAAGATTTAAAAAATTCAATATCAAACCAATTGTTACTGTCTTCACTCTCCATTGTTTACGACTGTGTGCTTTTCCCTGAATAAAGAATGACTGGAGAGACATCTAGTTGTTTGCACACATATTAACTCATACTTAAGGGAGAACAGCTTTTAGAACATTGTCGACGAAAGCAAATATCAGCTTTAAAAGAGAGAGGACAGAAAGACTGCAGATGGTCTGGAAGCAGCATTTTTAGGCCGTCTGATTAGCTGGGAAGTCAGCCCTTGAGTAGGCCTGCTGGATCATCAGATAAATCCATTTCAACTATTTCTGGGCCCTCAAAAAATCCTGAGGGTATGGCTCTCACCATCCAGAACCTGCAGCCTCCTTAGAGCCATGGCTGTGAGGGAAGACCTGCAGAAAAACATTTGGCTGTTAAGTGTTTTGGCCCAGAAACAGCACAAATCATTTCCTGTTAAAGCCTGTTGGCCGGAAGTAGTCACACTCCTCTACTTCGTGTGCCCAGGACTGGGAGGAGAGGCACATGCTGGTGAGGATGTTATGCCAGTGACAGCATGGTTCCTCACTTACTAATTCCCTGTGTCCATCTTTTCTACTTAGATAGATAGAAATAGGTATCACTGCCTTCCATAGACAAAATTAAAGAAACCATACAATTTACACATACACTCAGAGCGCTTGTTCTTTCCCCAGTAGACACTGACGTCTGTGCTCCTCCCTTGTGGGTCTTCTGAAGGACCTAGCAGGAGACCCAGGTTGAAACCCTACAGAACCTTGCCATGTGCTGCCCAGTCTGCCTCGAATAAGGCCATTTTCTCACCCTCTGTCTAGTAACTAGCTGACTCCACAGCCCATGGTGAGGGGCATGTCTCAGCTCAGGGGGTCCCCTGACATCCCAGCGGAAGCAAGAAGGTGGGGGTCTTTCACCTCTCAGCCTGATGATCTGTGCACACCCACTCGGTGGGAGGCCAGGGTGCCTGTGGGCAGATGTGTCAGAGTGTGGGCCAGGATTTGGAGTAGAAGCCAGAACATATGAAAGTCCAAACCAGGAAGACTTTGTTGCCTCCCCCATGTGGGGTTGAAGGCCTCTCTTCTGAGGTCCCCCATCCTCATGCTGACCAAATTTGGGGGGAAATGTCTCACTGTGTGAGGATCATGCCAATTAAGCTGTAGGGGAGGACACAGGATCTGATCCCCTCTGTATCCTTAGCGCATGCTATCTCCAGCCAGCAGGGGAAGGAAGCAGAGGTGAGGTGGGAGAGGTGGCCACTCTGGACAGTGTACCTGGGCTGGCTGCCTCTCAGCGCCCACGAGCACCCCACAGATATCCACGCCCGTGTACAAAGTTTCCCAAGTGGTGGTCTTTTCCTGCTTCCAAGAGCTGCCCAGGTTCCCCCCTCTCTGAAATAACATTGGTTGCTTCTCATTACGTCACAAGCTGCAGAAAAAAAAATTGAAATAAAAACCCTCTACAACTGTATCCTTAACTCTTACCTGTGGATAAGGATGGACTTGCCTGCCCAACATTCTCTGTCTTATGTCTTTGGGTGAAAGGGAAGCTGGAATGGGCAGGAGGGGCTGCTCAGGGCAGTCAGGACCTTCAGGTTTCAGGCAGGGAGACCCACTGATCAGACACTTGCATCAAATGTCAGTGCTGACAGATCCCTTAGATGGCACCGGTCCTGCCCCTCCTCGAGTGAGATCCCTGTGGCTCAGGGAGGGAGGTTGACTGCCCCAGAGCACCTTTCACAACTGTGATGAAGCTGGCTTTCAACCATGCTTCCTATACCCCACCCTGAACCTGGTCCAGTACTGCCTGCACTTCCAGTCCAACAGACTCTTAGGAGGAAGCAATGATTAAATGTAAGTGAAAAGGACTCGGCACCAGGAAGAGTTTATGAACACGTTTCAAAAGCAGACATACTCTTCTTTACACCTTTGGAAAAACAAAGGCTTTGTGTATCTTGGAATTTGATTAACTGAATTAATCTGTGTGTTGCTTTCTTGGTCACATAACAAGCACCTTGATTTAAATTTTTTTTTTTTCTCATAGCTAAAAAGATTTCTTCCTAATTCGTATGGTACATTATTATAATATGAAATCTTAAAATAAGTTATTGATTGATTGAGACAGTCTCCTTCTGTTGCCCAGGCTAGAGTCAGTGACATGACCATAACTCATTCCAGCTCACTGCAGGCTCAACTTTCTGGTTTCAAGCAATCCTCCAGCCTCAGCCTCCTGAGTGAATGGGACTGCAGGTGCATACCACTACCCCCAGCTAAATTTTTAAAATTTCTGTAGAGATGAAGTATTGCTATGGTGCCGTCTGGTCTCAGACTCCTGGCCTCAGGTGATCCTCCTGCCTCAGCCTCCCAAAGTGCTGGGATTACAGGTATGAGCCACTGCACCCAGCCTAAAATAAAAATTTTAGACTAAATTCAATACAATTTATAAATAACTGGAAAGTCTTAATTCTCAGTGCTTGCCTTGTCTCTGTAGTTAAGGGATCTGTCACACTCAGGCACTCTTCCTTGTGACGCTGTAGGCCACGTGCTTCAAGAACTCAGGCGCACTAGCTCGTGATCCACATGGTTACATCATTAGGGGAGCTTAACATAGGGTGGAGGTTGGAAGTCACTCGGGTTTCTTTCATTTGTCTTATGTTCACTTTTGTGCGTATCAAGAATATTTTAGGCCAGGCATGGTGGCTCACTCCTGTAATCCCAGCACTTTGGAAGGCCAAGGCGGGCGGATCACCTGAGATCAGGAGTTTGAGACCAGCCTGGCCAACATGGCGAAACCCCATCCCTACTAAAAAAAAAAAAAAAAAAAAAACATGGTGGTGTATGTCCGTAGTCCCAGCTACTTGGGAGGCTGAGGCAGGAGAATGGCGTAAACCTGGGAAGCGGAGCTTGCAGTGAGCTGAGATCTGGCCACTGTACTCCAGCCTGGGCAACAGAGCAAGACTCCGTCTCAAAAAAAAAAAGAAACCACCCAGTCTGTGGTGTTTTGTTATGGCAGCCTAGGCAGACTAATACATGAAACCTGCTCTAAATAGATAAAATAAGAAATTACTACAGAGGGCTCTTTAGAAATTGTATTTAAAAACAAAACAATCCATATTTACCCAAGATTTACAGAATGTACGTCTGTACACGGGAGGGATTTCCGGACTCGTGGATGATGAAAAATGTTCGTATAAAGGCACCTCCAGCTTCGAGTTGCCAACACAGGAGGAAGAATGCTCTCTGTTGTTCAGATGCTGATGTGTGTCCTGTGCTTCCTGGACAGCCAGTGGGATCATAAGCTGGTAGAAGCAAGATCTTCATCCACTGACTTCATATTTCTTCCACATCCTGAGCTGTGTTGTCTGACTTTAAAAATAAATTAAAGCAAATAGAAATGTTTCCATTGAGAGTTTGGCAAAACCCCACGTGGCATTTGTCTCTGCGGGCTAGACTTGGAAGGCATGCTCCTGGAGGCCCAGCGGTTTTCTCTGGCCTCTCGTGTCCTCCCATT